CTATGAGTGTTCAAAGGAGACCGAAGAGCAAGTATCAATAGTGTTTGCATAACCACTTCCAGGGCTAACAAGCAAGAAACTGAAAGGACGTGAATAAGTAAACTCACTGGAGAGCAGTTTCTGTTTGTGGAAAGGGGAATTCTATCTGACTTGGAGGAGCATCAATAACATCTGTCCTCGATTAAAAAATACACATTTTACTAAAAATAAAATAAAGATGATACATGCACACACACACACACACATGCAAACATACTTTAGCAATCTTAACCTACTATAATTAATTCAGCTCTAATTAAAATACAGATGATACAAAATTACACATATGCATTTAAGCCATCATCTTTTTTCAAAACACCTTGTGTGTGCCTCCTGGCAGTTGGTGAACTTTCTGATGTATTCAACAGCGATGATCTCCACTTTGTCTCTGCATGTTCGCCTTTTATTTTAGTTTCTACCATTTTTTCCCCAAATAAAAGGTCTTGCACTCACTTAGAAATGCTGAGATAAATTGGTATAAAGTAAGGTATCTGATTAACCAAATTTACACTAAAGCTAATTGGCCTTTTCATGGACTAGAAGACTATGCACAACCACTCCATACTCAAACATGCATTTCTCTCTCCAATATTGTATGACCCAGCACCCAGCTCTTTACAGGGCATTTTTTTTCTTGGTGGGTCACAGGTTTTCCTTCTGTTGGTGATGGCCTAGACCACTATAGGGCCATCTGCAAGTCCTTGCAGTATTTGGTTGTCATGAAGCAATGGCTGTGTGTTGTGCTGCTGGTGGTGTCCTGGGCTGGAGGATTTTTGCACACAGTAATTCAACTTGGCCTTATTTATGGGCTCCCATCTTATGACCCCAATGTCATTGGTCATTTTGTCTGTGACATGGACCCCTTAATGAAGCTTGTCTGTGACTATACACTCAACAGATTTGCCTATTTTGCAGGTCATGATTTAAATACTAGGTTTTATATATTTCATTTATGCCTAGACTGGACTGTTTCCTTTTTGATCTCATTATTCTTTTGTAATTTTTTTCCTAGAGGACATGGTTCTATAAATCTTGTTATACATAGGCATCTCTGGAGATACAGAGCCTACCCTCAGAATTACGATAAAGGTCCCAATGAATTTAATTAGAGAAGAATCACCTTTGGAGATGCACCAGTCGAATGACTCAACAATATGTGCTGTTTTTCAAGTGTGGATAAAGTATCCACAGACTTCTGCCCTTACTTTGAAGAATATTTATTTATAGCAGTATTCACATGACTGATTTTTAAGGAATTAAAATGATAGACTCAAATATGATAAAATACAGATTAAAATTATTCTCCATCCTTCAGATTACCCAACATTCAACTGTGAGGCAGGAATACAGGTTTGTATAACTGATTGATGATCAATATGTTGTAAAGGCTATTTCATTATTTTACTTTTATTGGTATAAAATACAAATATTTATATTAAAAAGTCACAATTCTCTCTCCCACAAATTCGAGCTTTTTCTTAACTTCAAAATGCTTATTTAACCTATTCATCTTTTGATGAACACTTGAGTTGATTCCATATGTTGGCTATTGTGAATAGTGCTCCACAAATTATGGGAATGTAGAGATCTCTTTGACATACTGATTTCATTTCTTTTGGATATATAACTACCAGTGGGATTGCTAGATATATGCTAGTCCTATTTTTAATTTTCTGAGGAACCTCCATACTGTTTCCCATAGTGGTTGTACTAATTTACATTCCTACCAACAGATTATAATCATTCCCTTTTCTTTACATCCTCATCAGCATTTATTTTCTGTTATTTCCATAATAGCCATTTTAACTGGGGTGAGATAATGTAATAAAAAGGCTAAAATTCTGCCATTTGCAGGAACGTGGATGGAACTGGAGGATACTATATTAAATAAAATGAGGCAGGCACAGAAAGACAAATACTGCATATGTTCACTCATGTGGGAGATTAAAAAAAATTGACCTCATGACGGTAGTGAATAGAATGGTAGTTACTGGAGGATGGGAAGGGTAGTGAGGAGAGGAGACGAAGAGTTGATGAATATATACAGGAATACAGTTAGGTAGGAAGAATAACATCATGATAGGGCAACTATAGTTTATAATTGGCTGTATATTTCAAAACAACTAGAAGATAAAATTTAGAATTTTCTCAACATAATGAAATGATAAATGTTTGAGGTGATGGATATCCCAAATACCCAGATATGATCATTACACATTGTGTGCTTTCGTCAAAATATTATGTATACCCCATAAATATATACAATTATAATGTATCCATAAAAATAAAAAATTAAAAAGTATTTATATAAATGTGTGTTATTAGGACAAATTTTGCCAACAATGAAGATTTTGGGTTTCAGTTCACAATCAAGATTGAGGCTATTCATTTTGAAAATCTCAATAATTTAAAAGGTACCTTTTTTTTACCTTGAAAGACTGAGATGAATCAGACTTTCTACAAGCATGAAAAACATTGGTCATATGGAAGCATTTCAAGGTCCAGTGATGGTTCATGTGTTATTTTGCTCTCTGTGTTCACAAAGATGGTGTCAGTGGACATAGGTGTTATATTTTTTTTTAGGACAAGAGAGAGGTACCATCATCAGAACTCAGAATGAACGCCTGTTTTCTTATGTAGGTACCCAGGAAGTGTATTTATACGTGAGATTCCGAACTAGGCTTTACATTATGCAGTAACACTGATTATGTGGGAATTCTGTCTTTTAATAGTTCTCTAAGTGATTCTGATAATAAGCCACATTAGAGGTTCTTCACGATTGCTAAACTATATGTGAATTGACTCAATTCTGTAATACTTTTTTGGATATTTTAACATTAAAAAATGCAGAATAAATTTACTTTCTCTAAATCAGTGTTCGCAGAATCTAATTTCAAGTGTAACCATTTGGGAGATATTTTAATGGGCAGGTATTAGTAAATCTCTTTATAGAATCAAGCAATGTGTTCTCTAAGCATTGATTAATATGCTAAAAATTAGATGATATAGCTTCTGTAGAAGTTGAATGAGTGACTTTCAAGAACCCAAGTAAGACTTAAGTAAGCAAGGTGTTACTTCAATTCATAGGAATGATAGGTCAAGTAAAAAGAGTATTGAAATTTACCACTGGATTTAGTAAAGTGAAACTGTTATTTAGAAAGAATAACAGAGAATCAAGATGGGGTGGTTGCTTGAAAGAGATATGTGGTCCAAGGATATAAATATATTTTTAAATGTGGGGATAGATCACACAAATATGCTGGAAGAAGGGTGCAATATAGGGAGGAAAATTGTTGACACTGGAAATGGAGGAGAAAATTGCAGGAGCCCTGTTCTTAAGAGTGGTAAAGAGCATGCAATCTAGTGCACAAGAGAGGTTGGCCATAGTTAACAACACAGACTATCTGTGTGTTTGAAGAGCAGATGGGACATTATGTATGAGGTCAGATTGAAGTAAATGCCAACAGAGACTTAGAGAGTGACTAGTTGTCATTACTAGGATTATTTTAAGAGATAGCTGGGCTAGTGAATATTGTCACTACTTATGATACAGTTTGTGTGTGTGTGTGTGTGTGTATGTGTGTGTGTGAAGCTTTCTTTTCCTTTACCTCTCTCTTCTTCCCTCCCTCCCTTCCTTCTCCCCTATTTCTTTCCCTCCCTCTTTTCTTCCATCTTCCTTCCTTCCTTCCTTCCTCTCCTGTCCTCTTTGTTAGTTTTATTCTTTCACACACACAACTTCTCACCTCTCCCCACATCAGCAATGCAAATGTAAACCCTGCTTACAACAAAAAACATATATTCTTCCTTATTTTCCCATGCTCATATAATCATACACAAACACTTACAAATGGATACATGTATTTTTATTTTGTTTGCTGAATCATATTATACTGAAATGGCTGCAATTAATTTTTTAAATATCTGTCTTCCATATTTTTTTGTTTGTTTAGTGCCATTATAAGTAATGTCACAAAAACATGCCATGCATCTGCCTTATATACTAGGGCTTTAATTTCTATGCGATAGCTTTTAAAGGGAGCAATTGTGTCGAAAGGTATTTTTACTTTCATTAGTGATTGCTAACTTTTGCTCCAAAAATATTATAAAATTCATATTTTTGCTGTCAGAGTAAGAAACTACCCTTTTTTGTTTTTGCTAGCTATAGCTACTATCACTTTTAAAACGTTTTTGCCAGTTTGATGAATATAAGGTGATATTTGTTTTTTATTTTGCATTTTTCTATTTATAGGTGAACTTCAGCACCCTATTACATTTGGCCATTTGAATGTACTGTTGTTTTTTTTTTTTTAATTGCTGGTTTCTATCATTTGCCCACTTTGCTATAGGTTTGCCTTTTATTTATTAATTGCTTAGAGCACTCTCTCTATTTTAAATATTAACTCTATGTCCTCAAAATTATAAATATTTTAAAATGATATCTTTTCCTGAATTCTTAAACAATTTTGAAATTGTCAAATATGTTTATTTTGGATTTCAATTATTAGTTAAGAAGATTCTGCCATCCCGAAAATGTAGAAAGTCATCTCCTTTATTAACTGGAAAGTAAATGTAAAGTAAATCTAGCTTTTATATTAAATCTTTAATTCATTTGTATTTATTTTTGTTTATGGTATTAGCTGTATGCATAATTTTATGATCTTCCAGATGTAAAACTAGTTTTGGCCAACTCATTTATTTAATAAACTGTCCTTTCCCCATATACATCCCAAATTACTTATTTCTCTCTCCATTAATTTGTAAGATTCCTGAGGTTGGGGACCATGCTTTAATCAGCCTTGTGTTCTTATAATGTCTTGCAATTCTGGAACATAATAACTCATAGCACCTATTTGTTGAATGAATAAACAAATTATCCTAAAATTTCATGAAGTTACTAGTAATAATTATATTTTCAGGTAATTTTGTCCTGAACACCAGAATAAAGACATAGAGAAAGACATATGGAACAAAGGAACAATGTGACTGAGTTTGTCCTTGTGGGGCTCACTCAGAGCCCTCAGGGACAGAAAATATTATTTGTTGTGTTCTTGCTCATCTACATTGTGACAATGGTAGGCAACATACTCATTGCTGTGACTGTGGTGGTCAGCCCAAGTTTGGATACCCCTATGTACTTCTTCCTTGGCTATTTATCATTTATGGATGCCATTTATTCTACTACAGTTACCCCAAATATGATTATAGACTTACTCTATGAGAAGAAAACCATCTCATTTCAAGCTTGCATGACCCAGCTTTTTATAGGACACTTATTTGGGGGTGCTGAGATTTTACTCCTGGTTGTCATGGCCTATGACCGCTACGTGGCCATCTGCAAACCCCTGCATTATTTGACCATCATGAACCAAAGGGTGTGCATTCTACTGCTGCTGTTGGCCTGGGCTGGAGGTTTCTTGCATGCTGTAGTTCATCCTCTTTTTGTGTATAACCTTCCCTTCTGTGGCCCCAATGTCATTGACCATTTCATCTGTGACATGTACCCTTTATTAAAACTTGCCTGCACTGACACCTACATTATTGGCCTTACTGTGGTTGCCAATGATGGGGCAATCTGTGTGGTCATCTTTACGCTCTTACTCATCTCCTATGGGGTCATTCTGCACTCCCTGAAGAGTCTTAGTCAGGAAGGGAGGCACAAAGCCTTATCCACCTGTGTCTCCCACATCACTGTAGTGATCTTCTTCTTTGTCCCTTGTATTTTCATGTATGTGAGACCTCCTTCGACCTTGCCCATTGATAAATCCTTGACTGTGTTTTACACTGTTATCACCCCTGTGTTGAACCCTCTAATCTATACCTTAAGAAATGCAGAGATGAAAAATGCTATAAAGAAGCTCTGGACCAGAAAAAGAAAATGAGGTGGCAGACAAATATATCATCTGTTTTGAATGAAGAGTTGCTGCCTCCAGAAAAGCCATGTGTGATTATTTAATTACAGCAAAATTTTCCTAGGGTTTAATAACTCGTATGAAGTGAAAATCATTTATTACATGAATACTTGCAATGATAAAAATATATTTAGAAGATTTTCATAATTTATTGGAAAAATATGTTTCCTTTTTGTCTGTAGAATGGCTCTCGAGATGATAAATTTATGTTAATACTGTAAATTTATTTAAGTTTATGAAAGGGTTTTCTTTTAAGTATAGTTAATCCTTTTCCAGAATTAATAGTACTCATTATAGATTTCAGAAGAATGAATTAAGAAATAAGACATAAAAATTTCATTTACTTCTCCCCACACAATACAGACCACATTAATATTTGAAGTATATATTTTATTTTTGTATTTGTAACATACTTTTTATATATAATTTTGTTCTTATTGCTTAGTATATTAAGGTTGAAGAGGAATAATGTTTCCTTTATTAGTAATTATAAGGAGACTGAGTATTCTAAAACAATCTGAATGAAAAGGGGAGACATGCAGAAAAATAACTAAATCTTACTTATTTCTCCAATTGAGAAATCACATTATGTCCTCAGGCGAAGCAGCTTGATTTGGTGCTATATTTATATGGCAATGATCCCTTGATCTTCCCACATGTTTGGGATATCTGATAATACCTCTGCTATTTTTCAATACCCCTATCTCATGGCCTTCTAAAAACAGCCAGGCTCTGCTTTTCATATATAAAATTAGCATAATCTATAATCTATGAACTTCAAATATGCAATGCAGAGCCTGATAGCAAATATTTTGGAATACATCATTGTCAAGAAAGACAGGTGTGGTGGTGCATGTCTGTGGTTCCAGCTGCTCAGGAGGCTGAGGTTGGGGGATCTCTTGAGCCCCGGAGGTCAAGACTGCAGAGAACCATGATCATGCTACTGCACTGTAACGCGGTTGACAGAGCAAGACTGAGAAAAAAAAAAAGAAAAAGAAAAAAGAAAGATGCTGGCAATATATGATGTTTCCATTCTTACTTTATCGATAGAATGCAGATTATTAGGTAATAAAAGGACTAAAACATATTGTTTCATTGGAAAGAAACTTCATTCATAAAATCTGTGTGAAAATTTCTTTTGAATTAGGCTTGAAATAAAATTTTATCTGCCCCTGACTACAGGTAGAAAACATGTAGTCAAAGAAACTCATTGTTCCTGCTTCTTCTCTGTAGTCTGGATTCATGAGGGACTAAGGTTAGGGAAAAACATAAGTCAATTTCACTGGTAAATCACACATATACGTTCACTTTGTATTATTATTTTTATCCTTATTATTAATACATGGAAATTTCTTATATCATCCAAGTTCTTCCAAAACATAGCACCATTCTTCAAATAGTATCAAGCATTTGGTAGTACCAGAATTTATATAACTAGGTCCTGTATTTTTGGACATGTAGTTAATTTTCCAATTACTATGGTTCTATTGAGTGATGAAATAAGAAAACTTGGTTAATTATCTGTTTATGTTTATTGGTCTGAAAGTTCCCTGAAGTCAGGAAAAGTTACTTCTCTTTGTGCTCCCTGTTCCTTACACAATGTGTGACACATAGAACCCACTCCATAAACTTTGTTAATTACTTGTATCCTTGAATTCTTAATCTATTGGAGTCAGAATTTTTACTGATACATTCTGATAAACTTTTTCTGTATCAAAGATGCATATATGTTCATACCATTCCTTGATGTTTGCTATAAATATGTACCTTACTATGTTATTGATGCTATAGTTATGGGTGTTTTTATATACAAATGTTTTATCTTAACTTTTTTACTTCTTAATTTTTTTTTTGTCATATCACACTTCAGTAAATTTCATTTCCCTCTAGTGACTTTATACATTTTAACACCTTATTTTATTTACTTATTTTTCTTTTCAGCTTTTGTTTTAGAATCAGGAGGCACATGTGCAAGTTTTTTACAAAGGTATATTGCATGATGTTGAGGTTTGGAGTATGATCGCATCCCCACCCAGATAGCGAGCGTGGTACCCAGTAGGTAGTTTCTGAGCCCTTACCCATCTCCCCCCTCCTGCCTCTAGTTGTCCCCATTAAAAAAATAACTTTACAAAAACATTTGTTTTCGAGCCAATGGAAAATTTATTTTTCTTTATCATAATAAAATATTGAAGTCTAGTTTTCCTAAACAGGTAAAATAATCTGCCAATCTAATCCATTAATTATTTTCAATAGTAATTTGGAATTTATCCTTTTAGTATGTCAAATTCTTTACATCTAGAAGGTTCAATCTTGGGACATTTCTTTTTATTTCTTTCTTTCTTTCTTTTTTTTCCTTTCTTTTTTTTTTTTTAAACCAACACACTATCCTAGTGGTCAAGGATTTTAAATATTTATTTATACTTAATAGAGATAGTCTCCCCTAATTGCTAATCTTTTTCAGCTTTCTTGCAATTTCTAAATATTATTTTTCCTAATAGACCTTAGGGCTGTTTTGTAAAGCTTTTCATAAAATTATATTTAGGGTTTCATGACCCTACCTGTTTATTTTGAGGAAAATGGTATATTATAACATCTTGTTTTCCTACCCAGAATAAGACACCTATTGTGAAGTCTTGATTGATAAATCTCAATCAGAAAGTGGGCAAAGGACATGCACAGACACTTTTCAAAACAAGACATACATGCTGTCAACAAGCATATGAAAAAAGGTCAATATTAGTGATCATTAGAGAAATGCAAATGAAAACCGCAGTGAGATACCATCTCACACCAGTCAATGGTTATTATTAAAAAGTAAAAAAAATTACAGGTGCTGGAGAGGTTGCAGAGAAAAAGGAATGCTTATACAATGTTGATTGGGGTGTAAATTAGTTCACCCATTGTGGAAAACCATGTGGTGATTCCTCAAAGACCTAAAAATAGAGCTACTATTTGACCCAGCAACCCCATTACTGGTTATATACCCAAAATAATATAAATCATCCTAACATAAAGACACATGTATGCACATGCCCATTGCAGCACTATTAATTGCAAAGACATGGAATCAACATAATGGCCCATCATTGGTAGACTGGATAAAGAAAATGTAGTACATATGCAGCATGGAATACTATTCAGCCATAAAAAAGAATAAGACCATGTCCTTTGCAGAAACATGGATGGAGCAGGAGGAGGCCATTATCCTTAGCAAACTGACACAGGAACAGAAAACCAAACACCACATGTTCTCACTTCTAAGTGGGAGCTAAATGATGAGAGCACACGAACACATAGAGAGGAACAACAGACACGATGGAGGGTGGGAGGTGTGAGAGGATCACAGAAATACTGATGGGTACTAGGCTTAATACCTGGGTTGAGGAAATAATCCATACAACAAACCTCCATGTCAGACTTCTAAAATGACAAACCTCCATGACACCCCCATAACAAACCTTCACATGTACCACTGAACTTAAAGGTTAAAAAAAGTTGTAAATGTCTTCATAGTCTATATACACCTTACTTTTTGATTTGTTCATTTAAAAAGGGAATCCTCTTATTTACATTTGATTAATATTTTCAACGAGCTGACAAGAGAGGACTCAGCATCTTTTCCTGGCATTTCTTGGCATAATCTTTAAAGCCACGGGCATGGGTCTGTATTCAGACACACATAGGCTTGTATCTGACCATATACGGGTTTGAATGTCATAGTATAGGAGTCTGTATTTGACTGTGTACTTGGATCTGTATCCCGCAGCACGTATGACCATATATAGGTGTGTATCCAGTGATACTTGGGTCTGTATCGAACTGAACACAACGTCTATACATGAACACACAGGTCTGTATGTGAAAACACAAAAATCAGTATTTGCTTACTTTTATGATTGTATTTATATAAGTTTTGCATATGATATCGCCCTGTCCTGTGTCTGTCTACACATGGGGCTATATCTTGCCATATACTGAGCTGCACTGGACCACACGTGTGTTTATATCTGCCCATATATTTAGGGTTTTGGGGATATATTTTGGGCCATTAACAGGTCTTTATGTAAGACACATGGGTTGTAGGATTATAGATATATGCTTGTTAGGAGGTAGGGTAAAGACTAAATTTTGTAACTGTCAAAAAGTTTTAAAACACAATTGTAAAATTATATACTTCCACAAGGGATATATAAGAGTTCCAGTTATTCCGCATCCTCAGTAACAATTGGATTAGTTTTAATTTGCATTTCCTGGATGACTAAAGATGTTGAGCATATAATTCTTGGCTGGTCTGTTGAACATTAAAAAAATCATGTGGCTTGTCTTGACTTGTAAAACTTCTTTATACATTCTAGATACAAGTTCTTACTCAGACATATGTATTGCAAGCACACCCACAGTGTATGGCTCACTTTTTCATATCATTAACAGTTTTTATGAGCGAAAGTTTTTATTTTGATGAAGTTCTACTTATCAATTTTTTTTAGCCAAGGTATTTCAGATGGAATATCAACAAAGAAAGTTCAAACTTAATCTGCACTAAAGACCAACTGGATATAATAAGTATTAATAAGTATTTACAGAACATTTCATCCAGTGGCTGCCGGATACATTTTCTTTTCCCCAGCACACAAATCATTCTCAAGGATATACCGTATGATAGGTTACAAAACAAGTCCAAAAACACTAAAAAAATTTGAAATAATATCAAGTATCTTCTCAGACCACAATGAAATAAAACTAGAAATTAATAATGAGAAATTTTGGAAACTATACTAGTACATGGAAATTAAACAAAATGCTCCTGAATGATCAGTAGGGTCCATAAAGAAATTAAGAAGAAAATTGATAAATTTCTTGAAAAAAAAAAACGGAAACAAATATACCAAAATCTATCAAATACTGAGAAAGCATTACTGAGATGGAAGTTTATAACTGTAAGTGCTTACACCAAAAAAACCCTTCAAATG